CTCTGCCACAGCGCCGTTTATTTTCATAGCTTCTGGGGACTTGGCATCATATTTTCGTCGTTGGTCAAACATAGAAGGTAGAGTTGGCTGTGTTTGATGGTGTTTGGACGCAGGTCTACTTCTCTCTGCTTCATTCTGTGACTTTAAGAGAGAAAATGACACTTTTCAGTCACCAACATTAATTTATTTAGCTTATTAACTCTATGCGTATGTATACTGACACTGTGTCAATTAACGTAATATGGACATTTATTTATTTATTTACGTTGTTTATGATCATTAACGTGACGCTAGCCTTGAATTGCTATGTGAGGCTAATGGCTAATAATAACGCACCAACATTAATGTGGGCCACCGGCCACGATAACATCAGTAATAGATAAGTTTGAAATGAAAGACACTAACCTGTTGAAGTTCAGTGAGAAGGTCAGGGTGTCGGTCCTTCAGATGTTTCGCCAAGTTTGACGTACTGGCTAGATGCCACTTCCTCGAAAGAGTGTTTGCACACCAGCCTATTCACATCCTTCGGTTTTCCTTCCTGGTTGATTTGGCTCTCCAGCAGCAGCACTGGCCATGCTCTCTACTGTCATTGTGCATCACTGTGATGGAGAGGACAGGGAGAGATGGGCACAGCATCGGCAGGGTAGTGTCACGCAGAGGGGGATGGGGGGGATGCTTGGGGGGTGATATCGCGGCTTTTGAAAATGAGTATCGTATCCGGATACAAAGTTTTAGTATCAACAATTTTTTAAATATCAATATTTTTGACAACTCTAATTGGTATCCTGTCTTTTACATTGTATTCCAGCTTTCTTTTGATTGTGCTCCAATTTCCATCATAACCGTGGCGTACGAGCAAATTGGGGAATTTCGTTTAAGGAGCTCTGCTCTGCCATGCAACACAGCTGAATGGGTGCTATCAGCTCATAATCTAGGGAGCGTGTGGAGTTTGATCTTATCTCTTATCCAGAATCACATAAAGTGCATTCTTTATCTTGTTGCCAATAAACATTTTAAGATTACCTTTGGATCGCTTCATCTTGTAGCATTTCCGCCGTGTTTGGGACGATTAAATCTTGCCATCAGATACTGTTTCCCCACCATCTCTTTACCCTTTGTGCGCCTCAAACGACAGAAAATCTGATATTTTTCAGCGCTCTTAACTAGTGCGCTGTGTTTTTGTAAAAGAGAACTTCAGATACAGTTAAAACTCATATATACTGGTAAAAAATAAAGGGAACACATCAAACTGTCCACTTTGGAAGCAACACTGATTGGCAGTTAATTCCACATGCTGTTGTGCAAACATGTAATAATTATTTGCAATCAGCAAGACAAACTCAACCAAGGAGGGGTTCTGCAGGTGGGGACGACAAACCACTGCTTTCTGGCTGGTGGTTTTACCACTTTTGAATGTTGATGGTGCTTTCACTCTTGTGATTAGGGCTGGGTAAAAAAATCGATTTAATCGATTTTGAATCGATTGTTTACATTTTTGCAAAATCGATGTCAATCGATGTTAGTACATGACATTCACATTCAAATGAGCAGGAAAGATGCACTCAAGATTACTTCAAGCCAGACAGCTGCAAATATAGCCAATAGGTTGAAGACATTAACAAATGGGGGCTGACCAGCAAACACCCTGTAGTTGTAACAGACAACGCTGCAAATATGGTTTGTGCAGTGGAGCTAATGCAGCTCATGCATGTCTGAGTGAGTGAGGCTTCATTTTTTTCACTTTTCACAAACAAGTTTGCACTTTTGAGACAGTTTTGTTCACATCTCAAGTTTAAACTGTCTGATTTACTAGTTTGCACTTTGTGTTTAATATGAAAGGAAAAAATAAAATACATGAGTATTTTGAAACACAGTTGAACCACTTTCATTATTTTAAAAACAGATCGAATCGAAATTAATCGATTTAGTACTTTATTAATCAAAATCGAATCGATTCAGGACTTTGGCGAAAATACCCAGCCCTACTCGTGATAGAGTGACACGGACTCTACAACCCACATAGGTGCAGGGTTCCCGCGGGTCCTTAAAAATTCTTAAAAGGCATTGAATTCTTTCAAATAAAAATAAGGCCTTAATTGGTATTAAAATGTCTTAAATCAGTCTTTCGTAGGTCTTAATTTTTAAAACATCATAAATAGGATTATTTTTATCATGATTTTTTTTGTAATCTGAAAAATACATTAAAATTGACCTTTTTTTTTGTATATAAAAAAAATAACGGCTCGCCATCATTGGTTCCGTCCCGATAGCGGAACCAATAAAAGCTTTGTTGAGGCCGGGACATTTGGGAGGTACGCCATTTACTTTTTGTCTGGAAAATATGAGCAAGTGTAAATGTAACAAAAACTGGCTCCGGCCAAGAGTTTTCTCCATGGCTAAAACCAGAGAACATACATGAGGCACAGTGGATTTTGTGCAAGAAGCGATTCAAGCTCGGAACTATGGGAATTAAGGCAGTGGAGTTGCGCATGCGAAGCACGAAACACAAAGCGTCAAAATGGAGTTACCGAGAAACAGCTGGTATTTCTCAGTTTTGTTCCACCCTTGTCTCTGCAACGCCTCCACTTATCACCAAATCAAACATACTAAGAAAACGATACAAAGAAAAATAGCTGCAAAAAAGACTTAGCACTGGTTATGTTGAGGCTTTAAAACTAATCTGTTTTGTTCCTAGCTAAGACAAAGTTTGTGAATTCAGTTAAATAATTGTTAAAATATATCTGTCATTTGTGTGTTTTTAGCTTTCTTCCTGTATGGGAAGCTTTTCAAAATCTGAAACATTAGTGCAGTGGTTTATGTTAAAATAAACCTTTGGGTTAAGTTGTCGCAAGCAGGTTTTTCTTGTATTTCTCGTGAATTTGGTCTTAAATTTTTATTTCAAGTGGCATTAAAAAGTCTTAAAAAGTCTTGAATTTAACTTGCCTTATGCTGTAGGAACCCTGAGGTGGCTCAGGTAATGCAGCTCATCCAGGATGCACATCGATACGAGCTGTGGCAAGAGGGCATGCTCTGCCAGCGTAGTGTCCAGAGGCTGGAGGCACTACCAAGAGACAGGCTAGTACACCAGAAGGACGGCAACAAACCAGGAGCAGGATTGCTACCTCCGCCTTTGTGCAAGGAGGAACAAGAGGAGAACTGCCAGAGCCCTGCTATATAACTTGCAATAGGCCGTAGATGTGCATGTCTCTGCACAAAAGGTTAGAAACCCACTTTGTGAGGATGTATGAGTGCCCGACATCCGCAGGTGGGGGATGTGCTCACAGCACAATACCTTGCAGGAAGCTTGGCATTTACCAGGGAACACCAGGATTGACAAATTCCCCACTGCCCCCCTGCATGCAACATCCGTCAGTAATGGTGCGGGGTGGCATTTCTTTGGATGAAATATGCTCGTCAGAGGTAGCATGAATGCCATTGGGTACTGAGAAGCGATCCAAAAACCCCTTGTGAGACCATATGCAGATGCCTTTGGCCCTGGGTTCCTCCTAATGCAGGACAATGCTAGACCTCAGTGTGACTGTGCCAGCAGTTCCTGCAAGATGAAGGCATTGAAGCTATGGACCACCCACCCATTTATATCTATATCCATTCAATCAGATCTAGAAGGTGTTAGTGTCCCATTTATTTTTTTAGCAGTGTATAAATATTAGGAATGTCCTAATGCCAGATTTCTTTAAATCAAGTTCAGGTACTGACATTTTAGTACTTGCCAAAGTACTTTAATTACCGTTTACTCTGTTAAACTGGGGAAACATAACAAAATTCCTTCCATTGAATATGGTAAAACATATATGCCAACGAGATTTTAAATTTGCTGTAAACAAAAGTTAAAGTTCAATTTATAATACTGACAGGACTGCGCCTGTAGGGCTGTGCATGCAGCATTCCCTTTGGGAACTTAACATTTGCTATTCAATATTTAGTGCAATTAAAACATTTATACCACCGAGGCTACTATTTTAGTTAAGCCAATTACCTAGACAAACAATGTTTGTTTTACCAGGTATTTTTTTTAGTTTTTCTTGTTTGGATTTACTTATGTTGGATCTGAAGCTCGTCATCTGGTCTGATGTGGGCTGACATGGCAAATGTTGCTACACTGTCGATGCTAACATTAGCATTGCTAATGCCTGTGCTGCCGCAACGGGAGTTATGATAAGATGGTTTTTAAGCTTGAATATCCCTGGTGGAAAGCCTCTTGAGTTTCTTTGTGAGATTTACAGATGTACAAGAAACCGGCAATAAAAAAGTTCCCGCTATTGACTTCAACATGTATAAAAAATGCAATTAATTGTGTGAATTTTTAAAATGGTTTTTAAATAAATATAATTGATTCATTGACATGAGGGTGTTAAGGTCCTGGCCCTAATATAGACTTAAAAGTGTTGTGACTAATTTAAATAAAAAGAGACCACACTTCTTAAATATTTTATTTAGATTTTATTTTTTTTTTTACAAACGCAGCTCTTCTTTTCCCCTGTTCCACTAGGATAAGTTCAGTTTGATATATATTACTTTCCTTGGTACACTTTCAACTTACTTTTATAGTTTTACTTCAACCAAATAGGGACACCAAATAACAAAAAACAACATGAACACCCTCTAATGTATTAGTGGCTAAAATACAAACAAATATATTTATGGTCAGTTCAACAAAAATGGAGTAAAACTAGTGTGCGACCATTTAAATATGAGCTTCTCTATTTTAAAATAAAGCAATTCCACTTATTTAAACCAAACTTAATTTTACAGAGACATTCAAGCCTTAATAGAAATAAATATTGTACAGTTCCCAACTTTTCTGTTTGGATGTAACCATCAGTTTTACAGTGTGCTTGTAAGAAAAGTAAAAGAGGAAATAAAACAACAGCTTGTTGAACCGCTTTTAAACCTACACCAGCTGGTGATAAAAAAATGTAAACCTCCTAGATTTTATGTATATATATATATATATATATAGAGAGAGAGAGAGTGATTTGCAAACAGAAGACCTGAAAAGCCCTATGCTGACAAAATGGTATATCTATACTCTGAATAGCACAAATTAACATAAGCATCATAGAAACCCTACTCAGACCTTATACTTGTAGAAATATGTCAAATAAAAGTCCAAATTCATTTTAGCAGGGCTATGCAAAGTTCAGACAATCAAAAGATTAATGCAAATTAGGGGCTTTGCTCTGTTTTGCTCATTTACTTCCTGCAAATGTAGCTTTGGAGTACTGTACATTATAGTCCAGTTAAAGCTAAAGTATCTTTCCTCTTGGGTCCAACTTTAGTAACATACAACTATTAGTAGCTTGGAGCATGAACTACAAATTCAAAACTGTCCAGTTCTTCTGCCAGTTTTTTTTATTTTATTTAATCTACATTGCTAGGTCTTTATTCCTTGGTGTTTACACATTAAGGGAAATATTTTTCTTTTCTTGTGATGGATTTACCTCAGGAACACGTACAAGAGATCTTTGTATATCTCTGCTCAAACTCCAGCAGACCTGCCATAAACAAACGTTCTCTGGCAAATTGCTGTAAGGCCCCTTTGTGTTGCTCTTTGCCCAGAACACCAAACCCACCAGGAGGCTGTTGGAGCACTCAAACCACAGAAGGTTGAATCCGAGGTATGCGGGTAGTCCAAAACCAAAGATCATACAGGCAACAGACATTAGAAGATATGGCATCCAGAACAATAAAAAGCCAAGCATCATGCTGAACCACAGTGGAGGCCTCATCGAACTGATCTTCAGATCTTCATCCAGTCCGGTTTTTGTAACTGGGTTTGGATTCCAGATTGAAGTAAAGCACAGTTTTCTTCCTGTATTCTTCTGCTGCTCCTGAGCTTCTAGCAACCTGTCGATTTCTCGTACCCACTGGGGAATTCTGGACCAAAGTGGCACCAATGTCAGAAGGCTCACAATGAAAAGTCCCAAAACGAAGGCTGAAATTATTGTTGACTCTGTCACTTCACAGACAAGCACCTTCCCCGCTATAGGTTCCAGTTCCACAGGACCAACATAACTGGAATGAAGGGAGTAATTAACAGCAACTACCCAAACCAGCAGTGTCAGGATGGCATTCCTGAGTGTTTTCCAGAATACTGAATGGTTGCACATTAATATGTCGTCTAGGCAGTAGTCCACAAAGCCCAGGAGCATAATGGGGAGTGGCAGAGCTCCATATGCTGTTGAGGCACTGGCCAAGAGGAAGCAGGGTGAGGCTAAAGACTTCTCAGCTCCAAGGACCAAGGCAGCTCCCATTAAACATGCAAGAAGAAAATCAGCCAGGACAATTGACAGGCCGAAGATGCTCAGGAAGTATTTATACTTTTTGGGGTTGCATGCATAAAACACTGCTATTTCCAGTCCAAACTTGATGAACAAAACCATACAGTACTGCTTAGTGTTGTCTGTGTGTTGGCCGGATGCTTTGTCCCACTCCTCTAGGATGGCCAATAATCTCCATGTTGGACCATTCTCCAAAAACAAAAACCAAGATGGTAGCATTGTTGTGCAGAGGGGTCACTCCAAGGAAACCTGTACAAGAAAAGACAGAAAGCTCATAAAGGTTTAATCTAAAACTCCATAAAATGCTGGAGCAATTTTTTATTTTTTATTTTATTTTTTTTTTAGGATTTCTAAGACAAAGGACAGATTGTACTAGAGAGGAGATCTGCTATCAACTAGAAACACAATTAATTTACAAATCTGACCTGCCACTTCCAAATTAGACAGATTCAGATTTTGTCTTTGAAGGACTTGTAACACATGTGTGACATAGACTTTGAAGAAGTAATATTAAACAGACACTTAAAGGTCACTAGATAGTCCTCTACTGATGCATAAAGGTGTATGTCCCTGGAAGTTTAATTTATTAATTCTTTTTTAAAGAGAGTCTGGATCTAATGTAAACTGGATCCAATGTAATTTCATCACATTAGATCCATTTGGTTGTTAGACTGGGAATACTACATGCATTAAGGTTAGTCTTTATTCTCTATGTTCTATTTATACATATATCTCTAGGTTTTAAGTCCTTATATTTTTTATCACCATGATTACTTGTGTCTTTCTGTAAAACTTATTTGATCTTTTTTGCTGTCTGTCTTTAGTAGTTAAAAGTACTATTGACCGATAGTTCTTTTTTAAAGCCAATTCCAATAGCGGTTATTTTGACATCAACAAAGCGACCCCCGAATTGTGTTACCAGTTTTTGGTGGGCAGATTCTTGCGTCCAATTTTGCTTCTTTTCTTTTTCCACTTAATTAAAAGTTTAAAGACAACATAATTTAAAAAATACTACAAATGTCTCAATGTAAATGAAAAACTAAAGAAAACATTAACAATGGATAAGAGATGGAAGGAACTGCAGTACATGCACGTCATATAAGGGAATGGCTGCTAAATGCATTAATGAATTGGAGGTGGTATGCACATATCGACTGTTGTTGATACAGGAAAAAAATGATAGTGGCCAAAAATATTGACTGGTTAATGTATCGGTTTATCTTTAGTGAAAAGGGGTGGCTACAAGTTTGACTCTTCCCGGCCAGTGCTTCGCCTACTTCAGCTTTTACCAAAGCAATTAAAATAAAACTATAGATAATTAAAATTCGCAGCTATAAAGTTGTAAAGGATTACAACTACGATACAATAAAGGATATCCAAAAGCTTGGACTTGGCAAATAAAACTTTCATGCAGTGAAGTTTAGCACCAATTGCAAAAATAGGTTTCCAAAATCTGAAAATTAAAGATTATGCCTACAACTTAGTCACTAAAATGATTCAGTTTTCAAAAGTAATACATCTGCAGAACCTCTAGAGTGGTGCAGAATAAAAAGATAAATTTTATTAAAAAAGTATATTAAATATGTTTTTTATAGGTCCACAATATATAATATATACTTCTAGGGGTGTCCTGATCTGATATTGAAAATTGGTGTAATATCAGCCAATAAACAAATATCTGAATATATTGACCTGCTATCTGCTCCTGTTTAGGTTATGTAGCCCATTGGTTAATGACACAGACCATTTATTTATGCTTTTTTTTTCATAACATTGTATTCTTGTTTGGGGAAAAAACATCCTTTTCCAAATTAATAGCAAAAGCATGTGGTGATGAAGTGAATCTAAGGCATAAGGCTCCACGGTTGTATACACAGCCTAATTACATACATTAGCCCTGCAACTAACAATTATTTTAGAAATCGATTAATCTGTCGATTGTGTTTTCGATTAATAATCGCATAGTAAAAAGTTCCTGAAAGAAGACTTTTTACGAAATGAAACCTGGTGAAACTTTTCATCTTGAGGGGTTCTGGATAGTACGGAAGAGGATTAGGGCCACTGAAAAAAAAAAAAGTAAA